TCTCCCTGCTGGGAGGCTGCTCAGGGACCACCAGCTCGGAGCTCCGGCTCAAGCTCCGGCCGCCTTCCCGGCACAGGACGGCTCTTTCCTCCTCACAGCTCCCTGGGCTGGCTTTGCAGCCCCTCCTCCAGGGGCATCTCCGGGCCTTTTCCTCCCCGCTGCCTTCCTGCGCCGGGGAGCCCTTCAAAATGGCCTCTCCCACCAGGCTCTGCCGGGGGGATTTGTCCTCCGTGCTCTCCGTCCTCAGCTCGGGGCCTGGGGCAGGAAGGAAGAAGGACAGGCAGGGGATTTGCCTCCAGCCCAGAGGGAAGGCCAAGCACATCCCCCCCAAATTTGGCCCCCACAGGCACCACAAGACAGGGCCAAAGGGGCACTGACTTCCTCCTCACCTGCCGGGGGGGCCCGTAGCTTTTTCCTCTTCCTCGCAGCTTCCTCCTCCATCTGCCCAAGCTTTGGGAAGGACAAATCCTGCTGGGGGGAAACAAGGGCTGAGCGTGTTGGCTTGGGGGTTCCTCCTGCCCAAGTCCATCTCTAGAACTCACTTTGGGGTCCAGGAAGGTCCTGGGGACCTGGGGAGGGGTTTTGGGGATAAGAGGTAGAAACCAGAACAGGCCAGTACAGACCAGTATAGCCCAGGGCCTCCTCACTGCTCTTAGACCTGTCCTGGAGCTGGGCCACGTTATCGATGTCATGGGACACCTGAGACTCCCCCCAGTGCCCTTCCAGTACTGCCCACTCTGTTCTTGTCCCAGGGTGCCAGGTGATCCCTCATTTGGGGCTTTGGAAGGGATCTGGGGGGTTTTGGGGGGCTTTGGCTGCATTTGGGGGAGGTATAAGGGGTGTTGGTGGCATTGGGGGTCAAAGGCATCTGTGGAGGGAGGGGATTAAAGGAAAAAGGGTGGTTAGGGGACATTTAGGTGGTCTGGGGGGACAGGAGGGCAGCACCACGAGCAGGTGAGCCCTGAGACCTCCCTGGTGTCCCCAAGACCCTCTGGGTGCCCTCAGTTTCCCCTTTGACACCCCGAGATGCCCCTGGTGTCTTCAATGTCCCCAGGGCCTCCCCATGGTCACAGGTTCCCTCTTAACACCCCAATTCCACTGTCCCTAAACCCCATCTCTGTGATCCCCAACCCTCCATCTTCCCCCAGTAGCCCTCTTGGGACCCTCTTGCCCCAGAAATGGCCTCATCCTCCCACGCTCATAGAAAGGCCAAGGGCATCTGGGGACATGTTGGGGACACTTGGGGGGCTTTGGGGCGCACTGGGTGATTACTGGGGGATACTGGGACCTACTGGGGGGAACTAGAGGGCGTTCGGAGGGACTAGGGCATTACTGGGGGACCGTGGAAGGGACTGGGGAGTTCCTGGGGGATTACCAGGACATGTGAGGACACTGGAAAGTTACTGAGCCCTACTGAGGTTACTGGGTGCTCACTGGAGGATCACTGGGGGGGCAGTGGGAGGTCACTGGGTTATACTGGGGGCACTGGGCCCCCCTTACCCAAATGTGGTACATCGACCCCCCAGACTTGAGGGGGCACGCCCAGGACCCCTCCCCTGGGGGCTAGGGACCACCTGAACCGCACTGCCGGGCTTTAGGGGACCCCGACACCCCTCCCCATGGCGTCTCTGTGTGTTCGGGGGTCTCTGGGGCTCGGCGGGGGCGGATTCCGAACCCTTTCCCTGCGGTTGGTTCGCCAGGCCGGCAGGGGGCGCTGTGGCGGGAGGGGAAATGGCGGATCGCACTGCAGCCAGGGCGGGAAGGCACCCCCCCTCCCCCCCACCGAGCGCGATCAAATGCCTCGTGCTCTGCTGCTCAGGAGCCCCTGAGCCCCCCCACCCACAGCTGCGCTCCCCGCAGTACCGAGGGGATCCCCAGAACCCCGCTCTCGCCGCAGACCCCGCCAGATCTCACACCGCAGCGCAGCGTCCTCCTCCCCCGCTCCCCCGCTGCCGCCATGGCGCCCTTCCCGCGCTCCGCCTCCACATGACCCACCGCAGCCAATCAGCAACCCCCGATCCACGGCCCCGCTCCCCGCGGGGCACCACGGGAGCTGTAGTCCCGCACAGTCCCCTCGCCTCATGGCGGGGCTGTTCGGCCACCGGAGAGAAACACGGGCTGGTCCCGCAGAGCGGGCCGAGTGGGTTCCACTCTGGCAAACAGCGCTCTCTCGATCGGAAATCCTCATTAACTGAGTGTAGCTGCTGCTGCTTTAACTTGTTCCCACAAAAATTCTCCGGGTTCCTTTGGTTCCAGGAGGCCCCACATGTCCAGTGGCCCCTTGATTCCATGAGCTTCCACAGTCTCCACTTGGGCTGCAGGTGACCCCATAAGAACACTCTTCAGGTGCATTTACAACCAGGAAGGAAGAAAACAGATAGGAAGCCTCTATTTTTATTAAACTCTCTCCTTGTTTTTCCGCTTGGAAATACTTGGGGCTGCCCCCACTGGCACTGCAAGCACTGTAAGGGCAGAGCAGAGCAGGCACTGGGGCTCAGCTGACTGAAACGCAGCTCTGGATTTCAAAAGGATTAAGATTTTTGAGGTCTTGACACCTGTCCAGTTGTCTCCCAAAGCATCCTCCACACCAGGGGTGCTCAGGGCTCTGGGAAAAGGTGATTTCCCCTTAAACAGCCTCTTGCTGTGAGCTGTCAGCAGACAGGGAGCTGCACCATGGGCACAACAGACTGAGCTCTGGGTTTGCTTTAATTATCAGTATCAGGTGAGGGGAAAAAAATATTTTAAAAAAAAACCTTTTTGGAAAAAGAGACACATTAGTTTCCAAAGGAATGGAGGAAAAAGTGGGATGAAATCCTTCTCACTGCTTTTTCCCAAAATATCCTCAACTGGATGTAGAAATCAAGTATCTCTCTCCCCATTACTCGCTGCAAACCCATTTCCAAAAGCCCCTCTGCCACAGCAGCCCTGGATCCTGGTGTGTCCCCCACTCCTGCACAGCTGCTCCTTTGGGTAGCCAAGGCTTTGTGCATGAGATTGCATTTCTAACACCTGATATTCAGAGAGTTTCAACTCCTGCCAGGGCAGGGAGCTTTAAACAAGAGAAAGGGAAATGGCTGCAAAGAAACAGGTTACAAACCCCCAAGGTCGGTGCTGCCGAGCACTGGAGTGACCCCAAGGCTGTGTTCCCCAGCTGGACCTGTGGTTCCTAAATGCTGCTGCAGCCCAAAATTTGGCACCTCCCACCCACAAGAGCTGCTGCCTGCCCTCAGAGAAAATCCTGGGTGGGAAGGGACCCACAGGGATCATCAAATCCAACTTCAGGACATCCCCCCCACGTCCCTGAGAGGGTTGTCCAAACCCTCCTTGGAAGTGCCCTCCAGCCACAGCAGGACCACACTGTAGAGATGCAGGCAAACAGCACAGATGAGACAAACAGAGCTAAGGAGACAAAAATTGGGGGCCAAATGGGGGGTTTTTACTGTGGCTTGCAGCAAATGGGGACCTCCCCCAGTGCACAACTCTTGCTGGAGGAATATCAGGGAAACTCCCCGCTGCCGGGCTTGGGAGTTTGAAAACTCTCCAAAAATAGTTCAAAACAAGAAGGAATGCAAGGACAAATGTGCTTATTCCTTGGAATAAAACAGTTGTTCCTATTCTGGCTGCAGGGCC